AAATTTGTCAAAACAAATCATTAAAAATAATATTTAATAAACCACCTATGGCAAACACAATAGAAATGTACAAAGAACTTAAAATACTTTAGATTCAGGAAATCATTAATCTAGACTCCATGATCTTAGTGTACAAAATAAAAAACAATATTTTAATTACCAAAATTAAGCTGCAATTAAACTGTGACTTACACGAACACAATACGAGGACCAGACAACATTTCCATGTGGTACCAAATTCTTCAAATGTGGGAAACAAGAAGATCTCCTCTCAGGCTGTGATATTGTTTAACCAACTACCAGAAAATATTAAAATGCTTACATCCTTAAACTTATTTATTCTTAATTTAAAAAATTATTTGTTCTCACTGAGAACTTGACATGTATTAATATATATTCTTTAATTTATACCTGTTGTAGATGCGTGTAATCTTTTAGGGTTTAATAAATAAATTAAAAAAAAAGGTAAATTATAAAAATGGGTAACCCCAATTTGTGTATGAATTTACTTCAAGTACAGGGTGTCCCGAGTAAAGTTGCCCCTTCATTATTTACCTTATTCTCTAATGTTTTTGTTCGGTAAAATTAATTTTTCATGAATTTTTTTAATTTGAAATCAGATTTTCTTGTTCGTAATAATGTTCAGAAAAAAAATTCAATGGAACGCCCTTCACAGTTTGATATATTGTTTAAAGGTGAATTCGAAAATATAAAACACTTTAAATTTAATTTATAAGTAACAATTACATAAGATATAAAAGCGCAAAAACACGACACTCACTAGTAGGAAGAATTAAACAATAAGCAAGCCATGATTTGCCGCTTCGGCATACGCATTTTTATCAGATTGATAGACAAACATACACCTTTCTTCAAAAGAAATACGCATTTTTTAATTTTATAACAGCAGAAATTTGTCAGCATGCAAATAAACTTGACAATTACATAAGATATAAAAGCGCAAAAACACGACACTCACTAGTAGGAAGAATTAAACAATAAGCAAGCCATGATTTGCCGCTTCGGCATACGCATTTTTATCAGATTGATAGACAAACATACACCTTTCTTCAAAAGAAATACGCATTTTCTAATTTTGTAACAGCAGAAATTTGGCAGCATGCAAATAAACTTGAGTTGCCATGGTATCATGAAAATTATGGCTTGCTTATGGTTTAATTTTTCTTTACTAGTGAGCTTAGTGTTTTTGTGCTTATTTTGTCTTATATATTTGTGAAGCAAGTATTTATATATTTTTAAATTTACTATAAGACAATTTATTAAACTAGTTTAATAAATTGTCAGCTGTAAAAAATCATATATTTATAGAATGCCCTCCATAATTTTTTTTTCTGAACAGTGCAGTATTTCAAGATAGGTTTTTGACCCATAAAAGTATACTGAGAAAAAGAAAAATAATGATGGGTAAGTGGGACACCCTGTACCCATATTATTTTTGATAACAACATATATACGGGTGAATCTCACGATATGTCCCCCGATGGTGTTACCCCGTGATATTTAAAAAAACTAAATGAGTTTGACCTACACTTTTATTGTGTTTTGATTTTTCATAATTAAGTAGATATTACAGCTCAGGTTCCAAATTTTTAACCGAATTAATTATTTCTTACAAGTCTAAAACCTATCCTCCGTGAATGTTACTCTTTCTAGGTTAACCTATATGTTTTCAAATATCTGAGATAGTAAAAGCATACTAAAAATATCAGTTCACTAAGTAAATTAAACACATCCAAAGCAATCGAATCAAATATTATATATAATATATATATATATTATAAAATATTATTAAAAATTTAAAGAAATAATTTTTATAACCATTTATGTAGGTGTTACAAAAATTGATTCTATCCTCCATGAATCTGTTTTTGCTTTAAATTTTATGCAACGGATGGCGCTTCAATCATTTTAAATAAGCAAAAACCTCTGTTTTCGACATTATAAATGCATGTGATTCCTGAAGGTCAGTTAGAATTTATATGCAGATGAGAGTGTTGCTGTTTTATAATTCAAAAGTTTAAGTTCATTAATTTGGTATTTAAAAACCTATCCACCGTGAAGTGTAATATCTTAGTAAGTAGATTTTTTTATAAATATTTTATGTATGTACAATTCTATTTTTGCTTCTTACCCCTTCATATGTAATATGTGTAGAGACCCTTAAACCAACAAGGGTCTATAGCAATTTAATTAAATTGTTGGTACATGATATATAAAATTTTTATAAAAATTATACATACAATAAAAGTACAATGGGGGACACGAAATTTTGAACAACTATCAAAATCTAAACTTTATGGACAACTAAACCTTACTTCCGGTTATTAGTGATGAGCGGTACCGTTATTTTTCAATCATAATGATATTCATTACTGTTTTTTTTTATATCACTGATTTTTAAACGTAACGTGTATTTTTTTGTATTTATTTTTAATTCAACACATAAATTAACCTATATTTAATAAAAACAGCTTTATTTGTAATATTTTGTTTAGATAAAAATAAAAGTTATAGTAAGCAATCTTTATTGTAAAAAAATTTAAAAAAAAAGTGTTTAAACATTATAGTCTAATTTATAAATTTCCTTCCCCTCTTTTATTCTCCCTCCGTAAAACATAAACAATACGAAAGCCGTTGTAGCATTTACAAATTGAAGGCGTTAATCTAATTAATAAATGCAACTATGGCGGGCGGGAGATGGGAAGGAAGGAAGTCTATAAACATGCCATTATATAATATCAAAATAAATAATATGTTCAATTATTGTGATAAATAGCAATTCACGGTTTTATCGTTATTTTATGCTTTTTAATATCAGTGAAAAAAATAACTGTGATAAATAGCAACTCAAGGTTTTATTGTTAATTAATACTCTTTAATATCAGTAAAAAAACACGATTTGTAAAATATTGCTAGTCTCTAAAGCATCGTTTCTTAACCTCGGGTCGCGACCCAAATTTGGGTCGCGCGCCATATCGAGATGGGTCGCGGGACTTGCGGGACTTTATGAAAAAGCGCGCCGTAATCACTGCATCCTTAATTTAAATTAAGAAAATGTAGAAAATTGATGATTTTATTTTTTATCGGGTCGCGACAGCGTTGCCAACCCTCCGTGGAGAAAGAATCGTATCAAGTTCGTGAAATTATCGTATCGGATCGTATTCTACTTGAAAAATTATCGTATGCACGATCATATCAGCCAAAAACTTAAAACTAGCTTTTATTTTTATAAAATTCACTAATGGTCGTTTTTTTAATCACTACGGATACTAACAGTAGGTATATCATGTACGGGCCAAAAATTAAGGTTACATTAAAACGCAATCCGTACTGTCGAATATGGACAAGGTTACAGGAAAATTAAAGGGTCGCTTTTGAGCTGAGACGATTAATAAAGACCACGGAGGACCGAAGTTATGGAGGTACAACCCATCACGACTTCTGCAAGGTGTGTATAAGATGTTGAACAAACACACAAAATACAAAGACTACAAATCATCTACATTCTACATAGTATAGTATGTCTATGGTATGTAGAACATACACAAGTCACAAATACAAAAAAAACTTATTCATAGAACTTATTTACCTATTTGTCATTTTTGCATTTTGATCTGTCGATTGTCATTTGTGTGATTTTGTTTTTAATGCTACCATAGAAAATAGAATGCTGCCAACTGTCATTCTGATTCATTATATTTATTTTTTTGTACAATGGCCTTTGCTCGGGACAGAGGCAGCCTTGATATGCGCAGTTTTCGCTAGAGGAAAATCCTGAATAATTATCGTATAATTATCGGATATCGTATAAGGAAAAATTACGATCGCATCAGACCTCGAAATTATCGTATAATACGATAATTATCGTATCATTGGCAACGCTGGGTCGCGAGCTTCTAATATTTTTGAATTGTGGGTCCCCTGCTTAAAATACCCCATAGAGACCTATACAAAATAATCTATCGGGCGCTACCGGATTCAATATGTGCATTTGTCCATGGTTTTTTCCGGATACCGCCCTATAGAAAATGTATAGGAAATTACCTATAGGCACACCATAACCTTTACATTTTTCCAATAGAGACCAATAGCAAATAACTCAATGAAGGATATATAGGGATATCCCTATAGAGCAACCACAAAACATTTGAAAAAATTGTATTAAAACCTATGGGGTCCTATGGGGAAAAACTAGTTTCTACATTAATGTGTATTTTCCCTATTGAAACCAATAGCAAATAAATCAATGGTGAATATCCCTATAGAACAACCATTAATCCCAACTATGGGTCCTATATATATATATATATATATGTATACATACTGATACACCCTATAGAAACACCATACATTCCAATACAAATATCTATCGGTTTGAATGTGGTCTCTATGGGGTATTTTAAGCAGGGTCGCCAGCCAAAAAGGTTAAGAACCGCTGCTCTAAAGTGCAGTGAAAAATCAAAGATCACGCTAATTAACAGATGTACGTAGCAGTCGTTATTCGTGATTTTTAAATAACAGTGAAAAAATCACAGTTCGTAAAATAAAGCTTATCTATTGTAAGTTTGTCATAGATATCTTCGCTATTTACAAATTTATACAAGGACAACTAAATTATGATGTTCAAAATTCCATGTACCTATGAAATTTTGTTTATTTATAGTTCTTTTATATAAAATTATATATTTTGATAAGATACAAAGAACATTACAAAGAACATTGCTTACATATTTTGCAGTCGTGAAATTTAAATTTATTTAGGTATTGTAAATATTTTTAAGTAGATATACCTATGTGAACTGTTTAATTGTGACACACTGTGATTTTCCTGATACCAGCAGTTGCTGTTTAGGGACACAACAACATTGTATTAGTATTAGTCAGTATAGTATGTATGTATTTTATATGTATGTATTTTATTTTTTTTGTACAATTGTTATTTTAAATAAAAAAATAAAAAAATTATATTTTGTACTTACCTACCTAAGTATTACGTTTTTATTTTATACAATTGTCTGGATAAGATAAAACAAAAATGTTTTAAGTAAACTTTAAATTGCCTTGAAAATTTTCTATATAGGTAAATATTTACATCAGCTGTTTTATTATCAGTGTTGCCAATCAATGGGTATCCAAACTTTGAATTTTATTTGCGTGGAGAACTATTATATATAGGTATTTATATATTATGAAAAGAATATTCCTTTTCTATGATATCATTCATAGAAATAACAGTATTATTTCTATGAAATTATATTCTCGTTGATTATTGATCAACGATTATCACAGAACCAAGAAGTCTGTAGCGTTCTTGCACAGAACATAAGAATATTATTGTGTTCTTGTGGGCTACAATAGACCTATCCCATAAAACAGACTTTTGGATAGCGCGTGCCTGAAGAAGAGTGGTATCTCTTTCTCTTTTATATAATTAAAAAAAGACGACGAGCCTTTTCACGCACGCGCTATCCAAAAGTCCGTTTTATGGGATAGGTCTATTTTATTTCATACAGCGTTAGGAACCCGAGTAGGAATTAACTGGATTAATCCAGTTTAACTTAGGGTGACAAATTTACAATTATAGTTTTAATCACAGATTAAGAAAATTATATATTATTATTAAATTATATTATATAGGTATTATGGGTGACCGTAAAAAATACGTAAAGTTGAAATCATCTCAACTTTACGGGTTTCTTATGTGTGAATTTTAGTAATTACATGATTTCACTAAAACATTGTTGGTAGTAGGCTACTACTAGCAGGGTTGGGTATCTACCTACATTTTTGTTTTCGACATGTAGAAAACCTTTTTCAACGTTTTCGACGGTAGAAAACGTAAAAAAGTAGAATACTGTCAAATATCAAAAAATGTGAGGTTATGCAAGTTTGTTGTTTATTATGATTTGTTAAATGTTGTGAAAAATCAGACACCTACCATAAATTTGAAGTTATTTGGAGTTTTTTAACATTATTATGGTGGGAAAAAAAGGGCCACGTTTGGTTGGGAGACCCCAACATAATTTTTGGCATGAGGGCAAATTTTTATCAATTATAGAGAAGTGGAAGGAGAAGGTCGAATAAGGTAATTTACGTAGGTAGAAAACCCTATAGGTTTTCGACGCAAGTCGAAAACAAGTTTTCTACCCTTTTCTACCAAGGTAAATTACCTAAGGTTTTCTACTGACCCAACCCTGACTACTAGTAGCCATGCAAACAGATGACAGATGTTTTTCTAGTTTATCCACAGAACAAACCATGGAGCCTACACAAGGAGCCCGAACTTAATAGGGAAAATTGACAAAACCTCATATACTTACCAAGTGGTAAGTATATGCAAAACCTGTCCACTAAATTGCACAATTTAAGTCTTTTTTTTTCACCACCAGCGGCGCTGCTTGTTGATGCGTCCGAATGACGTGAAAATAGTATCGAAAATACATGTGAAGTAAGCAAGTAAGTTTTGACAATTGATTTGCAATAATGTTTTGACGTACGAATCGTTTTGTTTTTTATGGCTGTACCTTAGCAATAGGCCGAGAAGCGATACATAAGATGGAATCTACCTCACCTTTTAAATAAATGTTGTACCCCAACTCAAGCGAGATATATTTAAAATGTGCTTAAACTGTTGAGTGATCGCTAAAACTGTACAAAAAATGTGCTATAAAAAGGTGTAATATAAGCGTCATAAATGAGAAATATTAAAGTGTGCCAACAGTGTGTATAAAATGTGACATACGTAAGATAGACTGAAGCTTTGCAAAATGTCTTTAAACAATGTACTAAAACTGTGCAAACAATGTGCTAAAATATAATGTAATATAGTCACGGCCAAATCTATATGGGTGCACGTCATCAATGAGATATAATGACGTCAGCATTACCAACTTTGAATTGTAAAGTTACTGCCGTTAAATTTGCTTTTTTAAGGCGTAATTCTGATGTGTTATTAAAAAGAAATCATTCATTTGCGTATTGTTTACCAAGAACTGTAACAATTTCCTTGTTTTAAAAGGTTTTTTCAAGAAATTATCAAAATAAAATCATTCACTTAGTAATTTTTGTGTGTGCCAGTTGGTAATAGCTTAAGGCTGGCGCGCACCGTTCAATATTATTAATGGGTCGCTGTCATTTTATATTTGACGTATTTTTGTAATTGTGACATTTCGTCCGGAAGCATCGTTTGTTGCAAATTATTATAAATAATATTATACATTATGTTTATAAGATTCTATCCCTGGATTGTGCAAACAATGATATAAGGCTTGTTGGCAACTAGCCGTTATTAGATTTCGAAGACATTGCGCCCTTAATAATAAATTTGGGGAAATAATCAGACTTCAATTCTGACCTGGTTTGCTCTGATGACAAGGACGACTGGTAATTTATTATTTTTGTGTTTCTGATAATTTAGTATTTTTTTGTTATGTGCATAAGTATGTTAGGCTCCAGCTCTCGAGAAGACGAGTCGCGTCACGCGGGCGAGCTCTTGAAACGTAAAAGTTTAAAGATGAAACCAACAATAATTTAAAAAAAAGGGGTGCGAACTGATAAGTGAAACAAACATTTTCATGGAGTGCAAGCTAAATGGTGTAACGGTCATTGAGGAGTGGAGTGTTGGGTAATATGAATGACTTGGGTGCCACCTGTCATTGGAGGCTTTTCACTGGACGGACGGGGGAGGTCGGAGAAGAGGGGAGGTGGCCATCCGCAAAGGGAAAAATCTGATAAGTTTTACTTTAAGAGTATGCATGACCTGATACAAATCTGCAATATAAATACGGCAAGCATTTTCCGTTATTTGTCACCATTAACATTGCCCGTATTCATTTCATTAAACATAACATTTATTTTACTTGAAAATGTTAAAATAACTTTAAAATATGATTATGTTAAGAACTTTAAACAATTGTTTTGTTTTTAATTACTATCATTGAAAAATTGTATTAAAAAGTGTTAAAAATTCTTACACGGGCAATGTTAATGGTGTTAGGTATCGTTAAAGTGTTTATTGGGATCTTTAAAACCCATGAAGGGCACGCGGCGTGGGGCAATAAGTCTGTCAACAGCAAATGCGTAAGGCGGTCCCAATCGAGACCGAAATAAACACTGGACTGACAGAGTAAACTAACATTGAACATAATTCTAACACATTAAAAAAAAGGGCCTAATAGCCAAACTCGAGATTTGTAAACATTAGACAACAGAATAATCGCGCTTGTGATTTGTTTGACTAGTGAATAAATGCAGGCTTTGGAATTTGATAAACAAAGACGGAACTCTACCACAAAATGTGCTTGGGACAAAAATATTAAAAACAACTGACACACTTTACCAAGGGCAGGAACTATCTGACCAGAACACGGACAATGACAATAACGAACAAGACAAAGACCTTGACTAGGAAACTACACCCCTGCAGCGAAATAACAACTCCCCAACTCCAAATAGTAATCCCAAATGTTTGGAGTATTACTAATCGACTGGTCTAGGGGGATTCCGCGTCGTACTTAGTTTTAAGTCGGCGTAATTGTCCCCCAAAAACCAACTCCCTCCCGTCCCTCATCCATACCCCACCGAGCGTATAGCATAGGCTCGGCGAACCCGGGAATGGCTATTATAACTATTCGCCTCTCGCTCTCGAGCCCCAAATAGGGGACAGTACGGAACGCAATGGACATTCGCACCCAGCAAACACGGGTGAAGCCGTGCAGTTGCTGGGGAAGAACAAAAATCGGCGTAAGTAAACATAGGCCTGTACGGGGTTCGAGAGTCAAGAGGAAATGGGGCTGGTTATACGTCTCTTATACTCATACTCATACTCATGTGCATAAGTATGTAATAAAAATGTAATAAACTCCGTTTGTTTTCTCTTTAAACACATTTAATAAAAATTTGCCTGTAACAAACTCCTAATTAGTTAGTGCAGAAGATTATAACAAGGACGTTATAATTCCATCTTAATAACAGCCCCCACCGCTATAAAAAGTCAACAATATACGAGCGTTAGATTGTGTCTGGGCACGTATGAATAGACCTTAACGCTGACGTCATATGCCGTTGATGACGTGCACCCATACAGATTTGGCCGCGACTATATAAGCGTGACGTATGACAAACACTTATTGCACACTTTTTATGCACGCTTTATTTTCGCCAGGGTAATTATTCCATCCATTTCTGCACCTAAAAATGTTTGGATGTTAACAACCTTCGGTCATCTATGCCTCCAATGGTGTCAGCACTGTCAGTGCTGCAAGCCGAGAGGTCAGGGCTTTGATATATTTTAAATATTTTATAGTATTTGCAAAAATTTTGTTAAACTTAAATAAAAAAGTATGTAGAAAATGAGTAAACAGCATATTTAATAATTTCTACCTTTATTTGTTTATATTAAACTTTTATTTAACTTAAATTAAATTTTAAGCCATCTACCTATAAAACTAAAAATAAATACCATATGGATTTAATATTCTGTTCGTTTTACACGATTTAACATCACACGACATTCTATTATAGAAAAAAACACGTATTTATAAAAAAACTGTACTATGCTCTACATCAGAAAGTCCAACATGAATTCCAATGTTAAATTTGATATTAATTTATTGTAAATTAAGACCTTTATACGCAAAACCAGGTACATGGGTACATTGTTTTCAGAAAGTGATAAACTGACAGTTACATAACCTCAATTATTTGCACAATAATAAGTGGTAGGTAGTGGCGCCATCTCTGGTTACACCCCTCTACTGTTTTGGACCGGTAGTACACCAGCGCCCTCTTATCTTCTTGTTTACATGAAGTTCGGGCTCCTTGTGTAGGCTCCATGGACCGTCGGTTGGTATGTGGACAAATTTGGTTAATTTGTTGACTACGCCATTTTCGCGAACAAAACGAAGAGGTGACGATGGACGCCATTAAAGAAAGATTTGCTTTTTTTTTAGATTTTTACGGTTCATTAAAATAAAATAACAACTTTTTTATGTTTTTTAAGTTAGTTTTTTAGAACTGGTTCAAATTTTGTTTAAAAACACATTTTTATTAAAACT